TAAAGAACCAAAAAAGGATGAACAAGTTGTAGAAGAGAGAAGGACAGAGGACTAAAGGTAGGTAGGGAAAGGAAGGAAGCAGAGAAAGACATGTGAAAATGGAAATACATGCGGAAGAAGGAAACCAAGGAAACATTTAGGAAATGTGTAAAATATGAATCAAAGTTATTGGTGATAACATTCACCTGATACATCTATTGTGATCGGGCAGTGCAATGTCTGAGGCATGAAGGAGTGAGATGAAAAAGGAAAAAGGAAAGAAGTAGGGGAACAAGAGATATGAGGGAGGAAAGAAAATAGATTATGCAGTATTTTATGAGTTTAAAGTGACTAGAGCCAGTGAATATTTTCTTATAATAAACTGTTTTCTTGTCCTGTGTCGATGCTCCAGAGCTACTTCAGAATGATTCCTTGTCATTAGTGAGTCCTCCTCAAACAGTGCTGCAATATACTGTCACTTTGTTAGTGGTTGTGTGCAGAGCTTTTTATAAACAGTCTATGGTTCAAAGTGAGGTTAGAAAACTTTGTGCTCATCCTACTTGGTTTATCTACAATGAAGCTATTGTGCACCAATGATCAACTGGCTTCTGTTTTTTTACAGTCAATGTTTTTGATAAAATAAAATAAACTTATAACTGTTCAAAATCATCTGGTGGGCCACCATATTATTGCCATTATCACCCGGACCAAAGCTGCACTTCACTATTTTTCCAGTCCTCCACTCCACTCATATAGAAGCAGAATGAGCCCAGCAGGAGGGTGAGTCAGATGACCTGTGCAGACACATTCACTGTTGATATGATCTGCTGTCTGCAGAAATAAGATGGGCGATGTTTGTACAGCAGCGCTGGAGTGAGGGTGGGACGTAGTGAGCATTGACATTCTGCACATCTGTCAGTCTGCTTCCTCCTGACAGGCGGTGAGTGAGTGTGTGTGTGTGTGTGCGTGTGTGTGTGTGTGTGTGTGTGTGTGCGTGTGCGTGTGTGTGCAGGAATCCTGCAGACAGCCAGCTGTTAAACTCAGACGTACGATGGAGCCTGACAGGACCTCCACTTTGAAGTGACAGCTAATGCCATCAGGCCGCTAAAACCTGTCACCTAATAGGTGCAGTAAGAGGGCGACAGGTACAGTTGGGAGAGAGATGCTGCCTCTGACAACATCTTAAATATAAATCTTTGTTGGAAAGGATTAATTCTGCAGTTCATGACAAACCTGTTGTTCGATACCCTTATAAGGGTTGGAAAGTGTGTATTGGAAATTTGCCTTTTGTGTATAAATAATTGCATGAGCTGACGTGTATGTGGAGGACTGATCAAATTGTTTATCTAAAAGGGCAACTTTAGGTTTAAGATTATTGCTTAGAAAACATTATGGCCTCTTGAGGCCTCAGATTTATGGTATCTATTGATATAATGTTGGGATCTCACATCTGGGGTCTCACTCTAGGGGGTCGTCCACAAACATGTAAACACGTAAAGACAGGACATCTCCTCCATTGACTGAGATTGCAGAAAGGTAATAAACACCTTTGCACACCCAATGGGAGGAGGCTTTGAGATATAAGTACACAGATTCTCCTCTGTTCTTGAATCATTTGTGCTTGTCCTTCAGGTGATTGTACTGTGAGTCCGTCTCCAGATGCTGAATTAAACTTACAGAAAGAAGTGTTTGACTTTCTGCTTGTTTCATTGCCACCACAAGTGTCACCAAGAATAAATGTGTCATTTCTTTATGTAGGTGAGTTAAAGGTTCAGTGTGTAAGATTTAGGTGAAAAGGATCTATTGGCAGAAATTGAATATAAAATAATCTTAGTGATGTTTTCACTAGTGTGTTTTATCTACATCAAACAAATTGTTGTTTTCTTTACCCTAGAATGGACCCTTTATATTTAAATACTTTACATCGAAGTTAGTAAGTAGAACCACGCTATAAAATTATATTATTTTTTACATTTAAATGAGAAGCCTACATGTATTTTGGCCTGCAGATAAAAAAAATGAAGATTTTCTTTATTTCCCTATTACTTCTGCCAAAGAGGTTGTGTTTTCATCAGAAACTGTTTGTTTGTTCGTTGGCAGCATTCCAAAAAGACAACAGGATGGATAACCACCTGGTGGAAGGATGCAGAAGATGGATGCAAAACAGTGTTGGTGTGAATCTTGTTCAGGGGGGCAGATGCAAGAAATTCCTTTAAAATTGTGCAATAGGGTGTTTTTCAACATTTGTATTGATTTCTCAGAGAATAATGTATGGTTCTTGATGAGAATTCAGGCATGTTCAGATGACTGATGTCTATAGATGTGTACGATTCGACTGAATTTAAAGGCACCATTGCGCCTTGGCAGAGGTATGGAGATAGCACATGAGCTGTAACTGGTCAGGTCTTGCTTTTTCTACTCAACGTTTTCAGTAACATTGTATTTTGTGTGATCAAGAGTTTTCATCGCAAAACCTGTGCTGACTGAGATCCATACCTCATATCAGACAGAGTGTAAATAAAATAAACTATTCAGGCTCTGCTGAATAGTGTTTTTGTGGCCATGAAGTTTCAGTGAGAATTTCCAGTGAATATTAAGGCACAAGTTTCCTTTGTGAAAACTGTTATCAACTCTTTTTGTGTGGGTGCTTGCCAGTATCAAAACTATAGACTGTAAATAAAGATGACAACGTCTCACAAAAGTGAAGCGTCTTGATTGTCTCCTGGTGGCTGGCTGCAGTCAAATCAAAATACATGTCAAATAAATATTTTTCAAAGAAAGTTTCTGTCATTTTAGTTTGTTCTTATCACACTGATGCTTGTTCAAGTCGTCAACTTTCTCAACAGTTTTCTTTTTGCAGGGATGGATCATCCATTTTTATATACAGCTATAGTTGTAAGATTGTCGTGTCTTCCCGTGGCACTGTCCCTCTGTCGCTGGTGTTAGATGAGACACATGACACAAAAAATCACCACGATTCGAAATGTCCAGAAATGAAATCAAGCTTTGAGACTTTTGAGTCAACCTTACAGGGTGAAAGAGAGGAAGTAAGGAAGGAATACAAATGGGAAAAGGAGAAAAGAGTATGTACAATTTACAGATGTAGAAAGGAGAGTAACAAATAAAGAGAAGTAAGAAAAGGAGGAAATCAGAGATAATGGAAGTAAGAATGGAAGGAAGGAAGCAAGGAAATGTGGTAAAGAAGGGCCAGAAGCAAGGGGAAGGGTATCTTCCCATTCTCTGAAGTTAAGTAAATCAATTTAGTAAAATATACCTCATGCCAAAACAGTTTCCTAAAGAGAAACATCTTTTTTGGCTCCAGGCACTTTTCCTGTCACCTGAAGCAGAACCTGATGTGAATCCAAAGCTACAGCAGGAAAGAAAAAAAAGTGCTCATCTTCTCCCAGATGGTGCACTGCTTAGACAAGCTGGAGCACAACCTCATCAACAAGAGAGACCTTTGTGAACTGATAGCTGAGAGCGTGGGAACTTACGACAGGCTTCCATCGATCGCTTTAGCAAGCTGGATAAACTCCCAGATACTAACACGTATAATTAAATTTTCCGAAAATGGAACCCAGGGGAAGTTGAAACAAGTCAGAAAAACTATTTGAATATTTCTATCTTCAGTCACAAGTAAATGTGACAGTTTATTTGATTTGTAGTCTAGCAAGGCCTGCATGGAAATTAATATTCTGCAAATACTATTGATGCATCTGTTATAAACTTCCAGTTAAATATTCATTTATTCAAGAATTTAAGACAATCTCTTATTTGGCAGTCGTGGGATGTAACAAAGTACATTTACTCTATTACTCTACTTATATTTCATATCTGTACTAGTAGATTTATTTTAGATACTACATATTCAATAATAATTATCTCCACAGTTTTTTTTCAATGCATTATATTTCAAGCTCACTTTGTTTATATAAAGGTCATCGGTAACCAGAGAGGAATTGGTTCATTTTTACAATCTGGATGGGGACATAACATTAGACCCCGCCTCCTGCAAGCACTTACTTTACTAAAAATAGTTTTACTTTAATAACAATTTACTCAATTTATTTGTACTCTTACATGGGTAAAGTGTATTCTCCCTCCACCACTGGTGTATGGATGAGGGCTGGATGAAATGGCCAGAAATTGTCTCAAGATTAAGATGTTCATATTATTTGATATCTGTAATTATCAAGATAAAAGAAAAATGTGAATTGTGAAAAATTAATCCTATACATTTCATATCTCCTTCTTATTTTCAGGTTCAGTATATGTGGACACAATAAGGGATTCAAAAGAATCAGGATTTACAGAGTGGATTAAAACATTTGATTCAGATTTGATGAAACACGTTTAAACCTCAGCCATGCTGGAGACTTCGACAACAAATAGATGCACTGGGTAGTCAGTGTGAGCAGCTCTGTCACCGGAGCGGAACAGAAAGCCAAACATCATTAAGGAGGAAGCTGTCACCATCAAACTCAAACTGTGACGGATATCTGCAAACTGCAGCGCAAAGCCACAATAACTGAATAAACAAATACAATTATACCAGATTTTCGCTCTCATTCAGAACAGACGCTATGAAGTTGAGAGTCTGAAACTTACTACTTACCTTGCAAACTTAAAATGTGTTTATCACTTTCCTAGACTCAAACTGTTAATCATCATGGCAGCCCTGTTGTATATCTGACGCCCTCGCGTCCGCAGAAGTCATCTAAATAAAACTTAACTGCAGGCTGCCTGCATTCATTCAAACCTGCTGTCGGGCAAGCACCAGTGGAAATATGTTGGCTCACAAAACCACCTATTGTAAGAAATAAATAAAATATTATGACTCTGGCACCCTGCAACCAATGACTGTGCTGCCATTATTGGCCAAGGGCACTCAAATTGGTTTGTGTGTGTGTGTGTGTGTGTGGTGTGGGAGACTTTTCTTATCAGGTGCGAGCAGAAAGCAGGTTGTGGGGCTTTTCTCTCCGGCAGGAAAGCGGAACATTTGAATAACATAACAAACGTACCATAGGAGATGGGGATGTCCAGATCGCCCTGCCAGGACATCTGCCCCGATTCGTCTATGGAGTGCTGCGCTGTAAAAACACAACAACAAGCCTCTTGTTTACCGCTCATTCTCACTCCAGCACTGCTTCTGATTTATTACATCCCCAAAGGAAGGCAATAGGATGGAAATCAACGGCTGTGCCCGGCTGACTTCACACTGGCTGCTTATCAAGTACAGAAGTGTGACTTTGTCATTGGAAGTGTGGATTTAACCATAGATGATAAATGCGTGCGTGGACTTTGCAAGATGTCACTTCAAGCCATGATGTGTCATAATGTTCAACTTCCACTGAGCTGAAACAAAAGTCACATTATTTGATTATTAGAGTGCACACTCATTTTGCAGAAACAGGATGACACAGAAGCTTTGACAGTAAAGTTGTTATCATTCTCTTGGCACTATGAAGTACAGATAATGAAGATAAGCCCCATACCTTTTAAGTGGCCGCGTCCAAGCGTCACAAACCCAGAGGAGATGAAGTTGTGCATGTCTTGGCCTCCACTGCGAAGATTCTCTTTCCCATAGTGGCCTGGTAAGACAAAAACAAAATGGTGGAGAATTTCAGCAAAATATTCAAAAGCTAGAAATGCACGGTGGTCACAAGAGTCACACGACAAAATGATTCACAAGATGAACATATAAAACTCCACAGCACTGTGTCATCTCTGGAGAATGGTCCGGCCCAATCCTCTATCATCATCATCATATCAGGGGAAAGAATGATTTCTTAAACCCAGCATGAAATGACACAACCCCTGCAGAATATTGTTGGGCTAAGACAAGGTTAAACATTTGCAGATGAAACATTTTAAATTGGTGACTCCTTGCAAAGAAAAGGAAAGAAAAAAAAAACGGTAAAAGTAGTTCTTCGTTGATCTGGGTGCTCGCAAAAACATCAAATCTGCCGTCGGTTCACTTCCTGTCAACACTAGACTAACGTTGCTTTTGCTTCCAACCTGATCACCACCAGTGCTCAAATAATGTCTTCACTTTCACAGTTACCTTTGTATATAATGTTAATCATATTGTCAGGTTGTTTTTCGTTGGACATGTAGAGTTGGTTTCTAGGATTTTGATGATTTTTGTAATCATAGCAGAGTCTTACATCGTTTCTCTGCCACTTCATGTACGACTGAGCTGGCTAGCTTGGTTTTCAAGATTTGACACCCCATGCTTGGAAGAGCCGCCAAAATCAAGGTGACTGATGTACAGCGACTTGTGTAACCTACCACTAAGGCGCCAACCTCAATGCTGGACAAAGGCTTGAAACTGGGTTTTAGCAAAAATGCTCAAAAAGAAATCTGTTACTGTGTAAATAACTATTAACAATGTATGCAACGAAAAGAACCATAGTGCAGAAAGCAGAAGTGCCACCAACACAGATTCAATTTAACCTGATTTAGTTTGTTCCACCATTTTAAAAGCTGGTGTGACTGTGCTTTATACTGAGAAGTATCTTTACTCATTCTTTACTTTATTCATTTTGTAAAAAAAAGAGCAGCCACGAATGACAAGAATACTAAACAGAGCTATAATGGTATGACTGACTAAAGTGACTCTCAGGCGGGATCATCAGCTCATCAATATATTGCTTAAGGATGCAAGAGATGCATCCGCAGGTTTCAGCTCCTGTTTATCAAACATTCCTCTTTCATCATAGTAAAGCAGATTCAGATTAATTAGAAGGTGAAATTGCGGTGCTTTCAGCCCACCAAGGGGAAAGATAATTGGCTTTGTTACACTTGATTTCAGAATCGATTTAACCCCCTTTAAAGTCTTTGGGGAGTTACATGTAAGAACGCAATGCAGTATATCTCAGGTATACACACTTTTGGATTTCCTTGGTGTTGATGCAATTTGTACCACATCACTGTTAATTCTCCCCCGTTCACTGCTGTAATTGAGAGTAAAGCATGAACACAAGGAGCAAGACAAGGTGCCTGACAACATTCAATTGTCCTGCCAATCACAGACAAGTCTTCAAAGAAATTAAAGAACATAGTGTTGATGAACGGAGGAACAAAAAGATCCAGAATCTGTTGAGCCGCTTCATCAGACCACATCTCCTCCTTTCATTCGACATTTATGCAAACAGTTAAATGCCTCTTTCTCCAAGGAACCACTTCAAAGTCAATAACATCAGTCAGACCTCTGGGCCTCAAGGAGCCAAGATCGAACAGCATTTCAAATTATCATAATGAGAAGAACCATGTGGGACCACTGGGCCTTGTCTTCATCACAACAAAGTTTGGCACTAAAGGCTCAGCTCCACTGCTTTTTTTCTTATTATCAAACCCTGAGGATGACTATAACCTGATTACTGACACACCCTGACCACTTAATCATTTGGGACCATCGAAGAAATCAATAAATACCCAAAGAGAATAATGAATATGTTTTCCTGTGTCCAGCGATGGTTTTAACAGCACAGTGTTGTATCTATGAGGATAATACAGTATATATCGGTGTGATGTCTCCAAGAGTGAAATGCTGATAATTCATAACCTCTGCATTGCTCCAAGGACGCCACTTTGAAGCTGAAGTCAGGAGATGCTGACTGTGATATCAATTGCTCCCATGTGCCAGTGTAGACCTAAAGCCCCTTATCTCGAGAAATGTTCATCAAAATTGCTTTATCTACACTCGCGATGAAAAAAAATCAAACCCTCCTTTTAAAGAATAACCACTTTTCATCTAACTTTCATGAATGACAGGAAAAACGTTTTGTTTCCGAGATCATAACTCAAATATCATGATTTAAAGTCAAGTAGGGTAGTTAATCATTACCTCAACCACATCACATGGTACTTTCATAGTACTGCCATACAAGCCAGTAGCCAGTCAGGTTATATAGCCTCAGCGTACCCTCAGGTTCGGCTTGCAATGTTTTATTGACAGTAGATTATTATTTTCATTCAACCAGTCTGATAAGTCTCTTCTCTCCCCTCTTTTTCATTTTTCTCCGCTCACCTGAACCGGGTGAGGCACATGGGTCTAGTTCTGCCAGGTTTCTTTCTTAATATGTTATGACTTGGTGCTTCAAATGGAATTGAAATGTTTTTTTTTAAATTGTTTTAATTGCACTTTGTAACCTTGTTCAGATAAGTGCTATACAAATAGTTATCTTTTAATCTTAAGAGGGGAAGGTTGTATAAAACTGTACACGACTTCTATATGTGTATGTTTATGTACATTGATATGTGGCTGTTTTTCTATATAAGATGTTTACTAATTCCAATGAAGGGAAGTCCTGAATAAATACTTTAAAAGGACGATGTCACTCTCTGTACGGTAAATATGAACAAAAAGACATTAGGGGGAAGTACAGAAGCTGGCTCGGTCCAACAGAACACAAAATTGACCTGCCAGTACCTGTAAGGGTTTGTTTATGGTCTCCCAGAACTAGTTCTGACGTACTGTCGGATCAGGTTGTAACTCAAATGTGTTTAAAGTCATACTGAACGGCCCTCACTGGAAGGTGGAGTGAAAACCTGGTCGTGAAAGAGTAGGGGTTTGTAGGACACATTTAAAATGTTGCCACAAAGCTGGGGAGAGACGTAAAATATCTGTCTCCTGTCCCACTTTCACAAAGCGGAGTAATCATGGCATGCGGTGCTGGAAAATTCGAGAAATGGTCGAGCACAGACATTACCTGTTTGGCGTCAGAAAGGTGTTGGGTACGTGGGTTCCTAAAACTATGCATCCATCCATCATGTTGTTTAAAAGTATAGATGATTTAGAACTGGTTCTTTTAAATACTGTCACAGTTTTCTTTGTCTTTCAGGGTAAATTAATCAAATCAACAGAGCCCAGGATACTGGACAAATATTTGCTCATTACTTCAGCAACATCTGAATTGTTAATCCATGAAACCCAAATGTACAGATGAAAATGTATGGTTTTACAGGGGTTATGTGTGGGATTATTTCTTGGACAGAAGCAGCAATATTCTCATCTGGTCGTCTGGCAACTACTCATGATGGGCCAGGCGCCGAGATGTGACTGGCACAAGAATCCAGGAAACAATCTCACACATCTGAGCAGAGGAAACAAATGAGATGTAACATTTTGCTAACACTGGACAGAGCCAGACGTTTTCTCTTGTTTCTCATCTTTATGTTACAATAATCGTCATATCTACCACATAGATATAAAAAAGGCTTAAAAAAACGACAACTCTGTCCAGTACACGTTCCTGTGCAGAGTCCTGAACTGAACCACATCTGTCACCTGTGGTATGATCGGGGACATCTGAGAGTCTGATCTGCCATCTGAAAACCCAAAAACCAGAAGACTGGCAGCAGATTAACACCTATGCTTTCTGAAAGAAATCCACACCTTTGGCCATTTGTTATAGATACAAAATGTCTCTAATTGCTACTATACAAATAGATCGAAACCTCCAGACTCATCTCTATAACATGACGCCACCTCTAAAAACTTTATCCCAAAGTTGGTCTCATATAACTTCATTGTCGACTTCTGAAGGCTTTTAAAAGTCAAAATGAATCCAGGTGCTGTGAGAGTCCAACAGAGATAATTGCTCTCTCTGCCTGCAAAGTGTGGAGGACATTTGTCACCCATTTTCACAGCGACAGAAAAACTTTAGAGCACAAAATGAGAGAACAGAACAGAGCACTGGGATATTGAAGAGATCATGCTCACTTGGACAGTTCAGGAGCCATCCACACCACAAGACGCACACTATCAGTGCTTCATCTTGGTATAATATCTCTTCGGGACAGCAAGTGGGATGAGTTCTCATCACACACTGCTGCACCGAAAAATCGAGAAACCAACCATTCCCATTACTGCGTTTCTTAAAAAGAGAAGTGATCAGCAGGTTGTGGCCTCAGATAGCACCTGTGTCTTTCATATTCTTTGATGCTCAGTATCCTCAATTCATCTATTATAATCTATCATTGTAAGTAATTACTGAAAGTTTGAAACCTTTAAAAACCTAAAAAAAATTGTATTTTAATTGCTAAATTTTC